ATGAGTAGGTTACGTGGTTCAGAGAACCAAGTTTGATATAGCATCCGACTTAAACCAAACGATTAAAATCAAAGTGATCAATAGAAGTATCACGCTCGTTGGTATCTAGAAATGCTACATGTTAAAGTATGATTATATCACAGTAGAACATGAAGGAAGGCATACCCCATTCCGGAATTTGACTCTAAGATACCTGAGTCTAAGCATTGCTACATACGATGATAGGTCGTTAGAATATGACACATCGGTCCATTGTAGTAATCAAATTAACTTATCCTAAGTTTGTTAAGAAAAAGAAGGAGTCTCTGATAAAGAATGAGGTTGTGACACGAAGGTCATGATTGAAAGTCCAACGAGCAGGTGCAAGACCGAGCACCGCCTGCAGTCAAGGATTCCAAGAGTTAGATACTCGTTCGAAGCGACATAGAAGTTATAGTTATTACCTAGGATGAAGAGATAACGTATGGAGTCATTATACAATCGTGTTTCATTGATGATTCCGGGACGTAATCATCCTAAGGGGGAGATAATTGTAACGGCCGTAGATCCGGGCTAGTCAATTTAGAGGCAATAGAGGTCGAAAATGAATTTTCAACAAAAGGTTATTTAGAATAAATAATCTTAACCAAGTTGTAGAATATGTCACAAGGTTTCCGTACATATAAAGAACGCCGAAATCCGAGTTATAACGAAGAAGTTATGGCCCGTCGATGTTTCGCGACGGAACCGGCACGGCACCGGGAAGCGTAAATAGTGAATTTACGATGTATGACTTTTTAGCCTTAGTGATCTAAATGAAATTCGTATAATATGTTAAACTAAGAGCGTCGATAAAAAGAACCCCCAAATCTGACTTCGTATGAGGAAGTTATGATTTTTCTAAGATTCGGCTTAGCAGTGTACAGTCCGAAACTCGAATCTTAGTTCGAGCGGTTTTTGGCTTACTCAACCTAAATGAGAGTTGAAGATCTCATTAATAGGAACTCAACGATATAAAGATAGACGAAAACGGAGTCCGTATGAAAGAGTTACGAATTATTCGCGGTCATTTAGCAGTCTAATCTCCTCATATTGTTAAATTTAAAATCAGTCAAGAATTAGCCAATGGATTCAAAATGAAAGTTGTAGATCTTGTTTTTACCTACGCGTGGAAAAAAAGAACGTCAAAAACGGAGCTCGTATGCGAGAGTTATGATTTTTCTAAGTCGGGAGGCTACTGTGCGGAATCGGGTGACGTGGCGCAATCCTGGTCGTTGCTTCCTCCCCAAGGCTAGCCACCAGATGGTGACACCTGTCCATAAAACTCGACGAGTTTGAGGTAAACTCGATAAGTTTTGGTGATTTCCAGCCTATAAAAAGGGTGCCGGGGCATCCTCATTTCTCACAACTTCCAACTTCTCTTTCTCTCTGTAGAATCTCTCTCTAAGCCTCCTTAAGCCCCCTAAAGTCTAGGAAAACCCCCTAGCACCCGAAGGAAGCCCCGAGGCTCCCGGAGTCCCGAGAAAAGGGGTCTTTCGACTCGGGAAACGCTGCTCCAGCGAAGCCCGGTTTTGCGAAAAACCTGTTGTAAGTGAGCTACGCCTACGCTAGTTTTAATATAGCTTCTAATTAATTATAGTAACATTATTAGGACCTTAAAATAATTATTTGGGATATTATTATGAGTTATATTGAGTGTTATTTAACGCTTATATAATAATAATAATAGTCAGACTATTAATTTGTCGCGGATATCGGTATACTAAACCCTAGTGGTGTTGATACTAGGTTTTATCGAAGGAAAGTTGTTTTGAGAGTATCGAAGCGTTGTCCGAGTGTTGAGTCACCACCTATCAGGTGAGTGCATAGTCCCTTTCATCTTACACATAGATATGAAGTATTTTATATAAACTACGTGCTATGTGTGCATATTATCTGAATACTTGTTGTCTATGCTGGATGAACGTCTTATACATGTTTTAAAGGATTTAAACTGTATAACGTATTTTATATACGAATATGTTGGGTATGATGATGGGTAGATGAATGATGAGAGATAGAGGATGACGTGAGTATACATTGGCAACTATAGACTTAGTGTCTATGGGACAAACACCGGTAGCTATGGACTCAGTACCTGTCAGACATTGGTAGCTATAGATTTGGTACTTGTTAGGAGTTGGTAGCTATGGACTTAGTACCTATAAGTTAGACACTGGTAGCTATGGATTTAGTACCTGTAGGAATTGGTAGCTATGGACTTAGTACCTGTTGAGCACTGGTAGCTATGGATTTAGTACCCGATGAGTAAGATATAGCAGCTATGGAATTAGTGCTTTACGAACGAACATTGGTAGCTATGGATTTAGTGTCAGTCCTATGACCCTGGAAGTAAGGGACTTCGGAATAAACGAATGCAGGATAGACGACTCTTAGGTTAAATCCTTAAGAGTAAAGAAGATAATGGGGATGGGTAATTGGGTTGATTGTTTGATTGAACATAATAATTATATTATTGTGGGTTGAAAACCCTATGTACTCAGTTTATGTATATCACAGGTGACGAAGTGAAGTGACATTATACTGAGAGATTTAAAGAGATGTAGATCACTAGTGTAAATCATTGTAAGTTCTGCTTATGCTTATGTTTCGGTATTAACGATGACATCCCAAACGTTTTAAAATGAAATAAATACGTTTCCTCGAAAATGTTTTAATAACGTATTTACCATGTTTTTTTTCTGGGAACAAATTCCGCAACCTTTTATAAAACGAAGTACTCTGATTTTCATAAAGCATAAACAAAAATCGGTCTTTTATGGCCGTGATTTTGGGGATGTCACACATAACGGATGGTTGGATGAAGCGGTAACTATCTTTTTATTTTATTATCGTAATTGCTTTTTATTTATTAATTAATAACAAAAGTATCATAACTTTCGCAGTAACTGACGATTTGGATTAGGTTGTTGATGGAGAGACGATTTGATAGTGACCCGTATACAACAATGCCTCCATATTTTTTTCTTGCCATGTTCTCGAGGATGGTTTCGATTGGAGGGTGTTTCTATCTATTATTGCTACATACCCCAAATGGGGTTTCAAATGAATGTGGTTTGAGGTAGTTAAAAAAGGGGTTTCAAATGCATGAGATTCAAGAAAAAATGTTAGCTTTATAAGTATGTATGATAAGTGTCGATACGAAGCTACATTACACCGAGAGATTAAAGAGATATAGATCATTAGTGTAAATGAATGTAAGGTCTGTTTATGATTATGTTTCTGTATTGACGATGACATCCCATAATTTTAATATAAATAAAATACATTTCTTCGGAAATGTTTTGATAATATATTTATCATGTTTTTTAGGAACAAATTCTGCAATATTATTCTTTAAAATGAATACTCTGATTTTCAAATAAGCATAAATAAAATTTTTAAAATGACCGTGGATTTGGAGATGTCACATAGGGTTCTCTTCTAATGTCAATTGGAGTGTTATAACATGTATTTAAATCTCCTTGATTCATTTGATTCATATTTAAGGTTAGTTGTACAAAGTGTCATGTGTATAGGCATGACAATGGCTGTGTCACTCAAGGCTTATCTGACATGGGTTATGTCAGGTAGTCTGATATGTTTTTTATAATTACTTGTATCTTGAGTGCAATCCATTCCTTTTGGTCTCCTTTGGATTCCATAATTTATAATAAGACACTTTAAGAAGCATTATGTGTTTAGAATGATGAGTTAACCTATATAAGGGTATATTGGTCATTTGACAACCTTATGATGATGATAATAGGTGTTGACATAGAAACATAAGTTTGGATAGGTTTTATTCAAGTGAAGAAGAGTGTTATGTTGCTACACATTAGACTAAGGCTAGTTTACCGAGAGCATATTTCCCAAACTATGAACTTTCCTTTAAAAAGTTTTCATATGATATGATTTGCAAATATGCTATGAAAAGTTTTGGTGATCCTTATTTTTTCTTACATGCTACATGCTTTCCATAAATACTAGTCGAAAATATTTATACAGAAAATATTTTGGAAAATAAAATGATTTATCTTAAAAGTTGAAATGATGATAAAATGATTTATGGTGAATTATTGATATTCTCTTTTAAAAATGTTGTCTTTTAAAAGAAAAATGATGTTTTATGATGATGATATGATGTTTTTTTTTGAAATAATGTTTTATGTTGAATTGATGTTTTATGATGATATGATGTTTATTTATAATAAAATGATGTTTTATGATGATATGATGTTTATTTATAATAAAATGATATTTTATGTTGAATTGATGTTTTATGATTTAATGATGTTTTATGAAATAATATTCGTTGTGTGGTATTTATGTGATGGTTCGTGAATACCCAGTTTATGATGTAAACTTAAAAGATATTTGTTTGGAATACACAAAAAAATATGATTTTCTAACATCCAAAATTAAGGTGTAATATGTTAATGGAATGTTTTTGTTACAAATAAAACGATGAAAAAAAAATCAACTTAAACAAAATCTATATGAAAAAGTTATGAAGGTTTGAAGTTTGGAAAAAAAAATACAGAGAATTTGAAAACTACATTTTCGAAATACAAAAATTAAGAAGATTTTAGTCCTTTTCTTTCACTTTTATAGCTATCTCATGGTAAAAAAAAAAAAAAAAAAAAAAAAAAAAAAAACTTTTAAAAAATAACTATTATTAACATTTTTCATATTTATATAATATTAAATTTCTGAATTTCACATTTATTCGGTTGATGAATAATGATTTCTTTGGAAATGGTCTTGCTAATTTTGAAATGGCAAATGACTTGCGAGCTTTCTCGATAGAGATGTTATCTATACAAGATCTAATTCGTATAAAAGAAACCAAAATCTTCAACTTTGAAATTTGAAGAGACATTTCATAGTCAGATATCAATAAACACAATTTGTAGATTTGCTCGAAAACAATTTCTTCAGGTATGAAAACCCCTTTTCCCATCTGCAGATATTCTCCGAAAATGAATCCCGGAAGCCTTGTAATCACTCTACTCTTCCTCCTATCACCACCCATCGCCGCCGTGGACTTCCTTTTCAACTCCTTTAACACAACCGCCAACCTCCTGCTAGTACGTGACGCCCGCATCGAGCCACCGGTGATCCGCTTATCTAATGATTCCAATCAGTGGTCAATCGGCCGAGCTTTCTACTCAACGCCAATTCAAATGTTCCGGCAAGGATCCAGTAACCTTACTGTATTCTCGACGCAGTTCGTCTTTTCAATCTTACCGGAAATCAGCTCCAGCCCCGGTTTCGGCATCACTTTCGTGTTATCAAACAGCACCGAACCCAACGGAGCAATCGGCGGTCAGTATCTAGGATTGTTCTCCAACTCCGCTGCACGAACTGTAGCTCCGCTTATTGCCGTGGAGTTCGACACCGGTATAAACACGGAATTCAACGAGACGGATGGAAATCACGTCGGAATTGACCTTAATAATATTGAATCAGAGGTGAAAGTTAGCGCCGGTTACTACAATTCTACAGGGAATTTAATTTCGGTGGATATGCGAAATGGGCAAAACGTACATGCTTGGATCGAATTCGATGGATCTAGAACGGAAATCAACGTTACAATTGCTCCTGCGGGTATGTCTAAGCCAATCACACCGTTACTCACTTATCGCAATCCAGCTATTGCTAATTACGTAACTTCTGATATGTATGTTGGATTTTCTGCTTCTAAAACCACTTGGGTGGAAGCACAAAGGGTTCTGGCATGGAGTTTTAGCGACACCGGCGTTGCAAGAAACATCAATACTACTAATCTACCAGTTTTCTTACTTCAATCCAATTCAAATTCTGGTTTATCCACAGGAGCTAAGGTGGGTATAATATGTGGTTCAGTGGCATTCTTTCTATGCCTGCTAGGTGTTTGTTATTATGTCTGGCTGAAACACAACTCCAGAAATCAAGAAGATGAAATCGAAGACTGGGAGCTTGAGTATTGGCCTCATCGATACTCATACGAAGAGCTGAAAGAAGCCTCCAACGGATTCTCAGACAAGGAAGTTCTTGGCGCAGGTGGATTTGGTAAAGTTTACAAAGGAACATTAACCAACAAGACAGAAGTCGCTGTAAAATGCGTGAATCACGACTCAAAACAAGGATTGCGAGAATTCATGGCTGAGATTTCAAGCATGGGTAGACTTCAACACAAGAATCTAGTTCAAATGAGAGGTTGGTGTAGAAAAGGAAACGAATTATTACTCGTATACGATTACATGCCAAACGGAAGCCTCAACACATGGATCTTCGATAAACCAAAAAAAGTTTTAAATTGGGAAGGGCGTAAGAAAGTGTTAACAGATGTAGCCGAGGGTTTAAATTACCTCCACCATGGATGGGAACAAGTGGTGGTTCATAGAGACATCAAATCAAGCAATGTGTTATTAGGGTTTGATATGAGAGCTCGATTGGGTGATTTCGGATTAGCGAAACTGTATACACATGGTGAAGAGCCTGGGACTACACGAGTGGTGGGTACCCTTGGGTATTTAGCACCGGAATTGGCCATGCTTGCATCTCCGACAACCGCCAGTGACGTTTACAGCTTTGGAGTGGTGGTGCTAGAGGTGGCATGTGGCCGGAAACCTATAGAAACGTGGCAGGAGAGAGAGGAGGATGTTGTTTTAGTGGATTTGGTTAGAGAGAAGTATGAAGAGAGAAAGTTGGTTACAGTTGCAGATGAGAGAATTAAAGGGGAGTATGACGTGGAAGAAATGGAGGCGGTTTTGAAGCTAGGGTTAAGCTGTTGCCACCCTGATCCGGTACACCGGCCCACCATGAAGGAGGTGGTTGCGCTTTTGTTGGGTGAGGATGCCACTCTTGCTACCATAATCATGTAATTATATTTTGCCTTTTTTTTTTTTTGTGTGTTATATTTCACAATTTGATTTATTTATTGTTGTTACATAATAGCTACCATGAGGTTGCCCTCATTGTATTACTATTACATATTGATACTTTCAGTTTGACACTGAGGGCAATCTTGATGGCATCTTTGTATATTACATCTATACATGTTGATTTTTTTTTTTTTTCTAGAAATTGTGTATTGTTTTCTTGCAAAATTGGATTGATTCATGGGTATGTTGAGTTTATTTTGTGGCATTCTTCATGGAATATATGTTTATTAGTTCAATACATTTTGACTTTTCTTGAAATTCTGTACTATATTCTTACTAAATCGAATTGATTCATAGCAAAGCACAATAATTGTTCTTGATTTCTAATTTATATTCAATAAAATCGGGCCTTAATCTTTGTTCATTAAAGAATTCAGGTCAACTGTGGTTGGTGCTCTTTCTAAGTTGTAGCCCACTTAATTTAGTCTTGTGTTCATACTTATCAAATTAGAACTTTTCAATATACTTAAAGTTAATTAAGACAAAAACAATAACATAAAGCAAATATAACTTCAAATATACACATTATTCAGCTATTAATAGGTTTCTTTCTTCCTAAAGACTAAAGTTGAGGGAGTGAAAATGGAAATATGTCTTCTTTCTTAGAGCACCAGCGATTGAACCTTGAGAACTTAATTGACAAAACGAAGCTACTGACTCCTTCATTGCTTCCGGTCCACATACCAACACCCCTACGTGGGACCCACCCGTTTCATTTGGGAATTTCGAAAATATTTCTGTTCAATTTGCACAAGATTAGGTACTTACAAGAATGCAAATCTTTATTTATAGCATAATTAACGTTAAAAAAAACTGTACCTTGGAACCCGGGTCTTGCTCCAAAATGTAGTTCATGATCATCAAGATTTCTTGATTGAAAGGAACTTGCTTGCATTTCTTTTCCTTCATGCTTAATCCCCATCAATGGAGGTTGTTTCTTTAGATGTTTCAATTTCAAAACTAAAGAGATAGTTGTTACAATGAGGATGGATAGAATAAACGAGCCTGTTAGAACAAGATCCACAAATGATGAGGGGGTTTGGGTTTTCTCTTTGGAAGAAGGTTTTTTAGGTTGAGGCAAAAAAACATGGCTCAAAATGATTAAAAAAACTAAAAATAAAATAGATGATAATCCGATAATAGTAGCCATAAAGAGTGAACTCCCGTATCCATTTGGGGAATAACTTATATGCCCGATGTCAAAATCGACTGTTTCAACTTGAGAAAACTCGTTTATTAATTCGCCAAGTGTTGTGCTGGATTTCGGTTCTTGGGTAACAAATACTTTTAATTTCAAACGAAATTCTTTGGTATTTTTGTTTGAGAGAAGAGGTAGAATTGAATTGAGCATGCCGATGCTATTGCGTTTCTTCGTGATGTACACGAGTTGTATATTTGTCGGGTAATTCTTTTTCCCATGATTTTGAGCCGAGGAAATTTCTTGCAATATGCTCAAAAATGGAGTCACCCCTATTCCTCCGGCCACCAAAAGCAAACTATCGTATTTACTGAAAGGCATTATATCATAAAGTATGGTGTTACAAAGTTAGACACAAGACAAATTACATTACGTAGGTCCCACATGACATGACAAACTGACATTGGTCTTTATATATTTTGGAGTCTACCATCTCTCCTGAATATTTAAAAGAGATAATATAATACTACAAAAAATTTAGGCTAATAAAAATTGCAACTTTTTGATCTACAAAAAAAGGTGGAACAATCTTAAATGCCTAGCCCTCATCATCGAATTCATAAATGGTCCTAGAAAATAGGCCCGCAACAAGGACGACCGTTCAGAATCCATTTTTCAAAAGAGTCGAAATTTTTTATGGAAAATATTATATTTAGAAGATAGTAAAAGTAATTTTCTTTGGATTACTGATCCTCTCTAATAAATAAAAATATTTTTGACACATATCATATTCTCATTTATTTTGCCACATGTAATTTTGTGGTTATTTTAAATTAATTTTTATTCCACATGTCATTTTATGGTTTTTTCATTTTATAAAATTTTTGATAGTATTTAAATGCAATAATAAATGTATATCAATTTCATTAATGAAGTTTCTTTCTAATTTCAAATTTACTAAATTAAATATTCATTAATTTTCTTTATTTATTTATCTGAATTATTTTTTTTTTAATTTAAAATAGACAAAAAAAACATTTTAATTTTTGTAATTCAATATTTTCTTACTTTTTTTTATAAATTCAAATTAGAATTTTGTATTAAGTTTTTTTTTTTTTTTTAAATAAACAAATGTAATATATAAATCTCACACCTATTTACGTATTTTTAGTAGGGACAGGACAAATATATTTTGGCCCATTTTATCTGTAACAAATCTAGCCTTAGTGACGAGAACTTATATTTGCTACCTTAAGAAGTCCGTTGATGTGGGTCCATATGGTCCTTCAACAGAAACCGGAATGCATGTTTCCACTTTTTGATTAGGACCCGAAACGGGCATTCCTTGGATCATGTCATAAAGAGAATTTGTCCACGACCCATCACATTTTATGATAACCGACATCGTATCATCATCAACGCTTGAGCTTGAAGCTATACTAAACGAATGCCATTGAAATTTCGAAATTCTTGGAACCTTTATAAAGATTATGCTTGTGGGGGTGTACTTCAAGCCTGCATATATACATATATACGTCATTCAAAACTTTTATAAAATCAATTATCTTTATTCACTTTTGATAACACGATAGATAAATAATCACTTGGTTCTTTTGGAAGTATAACTTCAATGGCCTTGAAAGGGAAGATTCGTGCAGAAAGAATGCATGTTTGTGGCCTTGATTGTATTATTCGGAGCAACCTTTCAATGGCAAAAAGAAAAATTGCAGGAAACACCATGTAGAAGTGACGATCACCCGTGTGAAACAAGAAGAATATGATGAAGATGGTGTACAAGTGATGTGTGTAGTAAAATATTTCAAATCTTTTTCTTCTAATTTGTGGAAGTGATGTGATCCCAATCACTAATCCAACGATAAGTGCAATTTCGCCAGCGAGGTATATTCTTCCCGTTTTCTGCCATTTCCATATCTATTTTCCCCATAAAAACAATTAAAAAAAAAACTACATGTTATATTTAAATATAGAGGAAAATAAGACAGACTAAAAAAGAAAAATCCTTGAATATCTCTCCATTAAGTTAAAAAAACAGACACACACAAAGTCTAGTCCTGTTAACTCCACCAACTTGTACTATTTTAAGTGGAGATG